GTGGATGAAATCCTATGGTGTGACCATTCAAATGAAAGCTACTGAGCAGTACTCTCCTGTGGTACTGTTTATTATGCTGTACAAGGTGGTTCTAACTTTTCAGTCTGTGGATGAAATCCTATGATGTGACCATTCAAATGAAAGCTACTGAACAGTACTTACTAGTCAGTACTGAACAGTACTTACTCGCATGGTGCTTTTTCTTTTTCAGCATTTTACAAAATGAAATTTGTAAACTTTATCATATTTTTCGTGGTGAAAGGGTGAACCTGTAAGGCCAGTCTGAGTATTTACGGATCACCCTATGCAACTCAATGAACTCTATTATTTTATCTTTCTAGGCACAGTTCTCCTGGACCTGGAGAAGTCCGACTTACCACACATAGCGAGAGCAGTTGTCGACAACATGGTTCTCACAGATCAACTTAAAGAAGAGGACAGCAACAAGGTAGTGACCGCTCTGCTTCTTCAACACAGGCATCAACACCAGCAGCCTGGCATGTCTAGGCGTTTGTCTTCCAAGAAGAAGAGAAAGATTGGTCTTGGTACAGATAATATCGGATATAATCACAGTACAGAAGTATTCAAGAACGGAATTCAGAATGGAAGCTTGAGTCAAAATGGAATACCTGCAAAGGTTTCTCTACTTTATTTGCATTTAACAATTACATCAAAAGAAAAGAGGCAATAGTTAACAATACTAAAACTTTAAATGGATAATTCTTTGAAAAAGCAAACCAAATCTAATATTTCAGGTGCTTGTCTTCGTATTCAAGATGTTAGTGAACTTATGCAAGAGGAAGGCGACTGGGGTCCGTTTCTCGAAAGGTCCCGGAAACTTTTCGGACCCGAAGGCAAATTTTAAAATCCAAACGTGTCGAATAGCAGCACAGTTCCTAGCCCATAAACTAGTCAATTTTGCTTCGTTAACTGATATTTTATTTTGTTATTTTCAAAAGTATTGAAACTTTGATCTTGAATGTAAACGCGGCAAACATAAAGCAGCTTTCCGGGCCTGAAAAGTTACCGGGTGGGGCCTGTTTCTCGAAAGTCCCGGTACCTTTTCGGGCCCGAAAAGCTGTTTTATGTTTAAATTTACCTCCAGGCTCGAAACGTTACCTGGCCTTTCGAGAAACGGGCTCCAAAGAAAGACAGCAAAGCCTGTGTGATCAACCGTGACAGTCATTATTTTTGAAAAAATTCCGCGAAATTTCCCCGTCCTTGAAACAGATCTTTTGTAAAAGACCAGAACACAGTAAGGTAAAGCCCTGACACTTTTGTCACGCACAAGATTTTTGCCATCCTCTTCTCACTTAGCCTCCCACCCAGGGGAGCTCGTTTTTCGTCCTTCCCCACAGGAGGGATGAAAAACGGGTTCCCCTAAAGAAGCCTTCGCGGGAGGCTACTTCTCACTTGACGGCTGTGCCACTAGTGCGCCCACAGTAAATAATAAAACTAGTCTATTCTCTCGGTAATGTATTGCACCGTGGCGCGTGTATCGTGATCTGTATTGTATAGTGGAAAAACGTAGCGATGCAGCCCTATTTGGAGGCATATAAATAACTTTAATTTAAATGACAATTTCTTCTTTTGTTTTCAAAGGATCCACATGCGTTAGAAATTGCCCTTGACGAACAAGAATCTGACGTTAAAAGCAGAATCCCCGAGGGAGCAGAGGCGACGACTGTTCTTGTTGGTACATTGGACGAGCTTGATCACTCAGTATTGGCTTTTGTTCGTCTCTCCAAGGGCTGTAACCTGGGCCAGGTCACGGAAGTGTCCATCCCTGTTCGTTTCTTGTTTGTTATGCTGGGCCCAAGCGAATATAAAGAATCATACTATCAGATTGGTCGCTCTATTGCTACATTAATGTCAGACCAGGTAGGTTGATTGATGAATAGTGAACGCCTCATCCTCTATTAAGACAGACACTGGGGAATAGTTCTTAATAAGTAAATCAGTCAGTCAATCAATAAAGATGTCATTCAATCAATCAATCAATCAATCAATCAATCATTCAACCAAGTATTTAGTGGTAGCATATCAAAAAAGTGCTGCTTTGTCTATCTCTTCGATCGGGATGTGTTTCCTTGTTAGTTTATAAAGGGTTTTAAGACAGAGATAATCCAACAAATAAATGAAATTCGACGATAAGCACCCGTGTGGACAAAATCCAGACTAACCTTGACCCAATTAACGAAGCAACAACAAAACTTGAAAGATGAGATAGATCTTAAAAATAACCTTCAAAATACTTCACAACACAATTCATGATTTGTCTTACTTTCCATTGCGTTCCAGACTTTTCATGATGTTGCATATGCCGCTGATTCTCGCGAGCAGCTGTTAGGAGCCATTGATGACTTTCTTGAGGACGTTGTGGTGTTGCCACCTGGTAACTGGGATCGTAACGTCTTGTTACCCATCCTTATCGCGCAAAGCAGAGCCATTGCGGTCAGGAGAAAGATGGCTAAAGCAGGTAGGGAAACGGCCGTATGCGGTAGAGTAAACCCATTCATACGAGCTGTCTTTTTATGCCCTTTGCAGTTGACTGTGAAAAGTATTTTTGTGATTTTCCATTCTGCTCTTTTGCAATACGCTATATAAATGAAGCCCTTGTTGTGTAACACGTATTACCTTTTGGCCGTGTAGAGTCTCCAGCCATGTTTCAGAGTGTACTTGGCAATTTTGGCCAAAAAAATGAAATGAAAACCTGATTGTGAAAAATGTATTTGGGTCCATTTTGCAATTGCAATGTGAATTCTACGATCGTCTTTTTCCGACGTACGAACATCAGGTTTTATGACAAATTTCGCCAGTCCTAACAAGTCTTTTCCTTTCTCCAGCCTCATCTTCACACTCGGAAGGAGACACCGCCCTACAGCGAACAGGCACCTTTTTTGGAGGACTCTTCCAGGACATCAAGCGACGGGGGAAGTTTTACATGAGCGATTTCTATGATGGCTTTAACTTGCACAGTCTGCTTGCGTCTCTTTTCCTTTACTTCGCCTTATTTGCCACAAATATTGCCTTTGGTGGTCTTCTTGAAAGCAAGACGGAGAAGTTTTTGGGGGTGACAGAAGTTATTATTTCTGCTAGTGTTTGTAGCATTATTTTAGGGCTTTTTGCGGGACAACCGATGATGATTATTGGAGCCACGGGTCCTATGCTGGTCTTTGAGCAGAGCATTTACGATGTAAGTGTACAGCTTCTTAGTTGTATACCAGTATTACAGTAGAAACCCGGTAACTCAAACTCTGAAGGGAAACGAAAAACAGGTCGAGTTAACGGGGAATTGGAGTTATCGGAGTAAATTTCAGTGAAATTTGGATCAAGGGGAAGGAAATTTAGTTTGAGTTATCCGAGTTGGTTTTATCGAGGTTCTGCTGCACTCTAATCCAAGTGCAGTAACCTTCTCCCCCCTGTCTCTCCTTTACCCTCCCCTCCCACCTACCGACCTCTCCTTAGTTTGTTAAGTTGATCGCCTTGCTTCGAACAAGTTGTTGACACAAACTTTGGCTGAAACACTGACGCGAAATTTTTTAATCACGTAGTGTACCTAAGCAAAAGTAGAGAAATCGTGCATTCACCTTTGTGAAATAGAGCTTTATTTCTATTTTCCCCAGAAAGAGAAGATAAGTCTTTGCTAGCCCTGACAAATGGGTCATTTTTAGAATTTCTGATTAATGAGTCGTAGATAGTGAATCACCGAAACTAAAGCACTTTTCCGGCAAATCAAAAATACTCGTAGAAATCTAAATAAACCAATCATAACTCGCAATGTATACATAGAGCTGGTGTGGCTGGCCAAGCGCGGGAATCACACGCAAGCGCGTGACGGTGACGTCACACAATGACGCAAACAATGTTTTAAAATACTCGTAGAAATCCAAATAAATCAAGCAGATCTCAAAGTGTATTCATGAACCTGGTTTGTCTGGCCAAGCACGGGAAAAGCGCAGGCAAGCAGGTGACTGCTTAAAAGAAAATGGCGCTGGGTTGTTTAGCCAATGACAAAGATGAAACGTAACAATGCGAAACCAAACAATTTTTGAGTAAATTCCTAACGATACTGAATTCAAAACCGCTCTATTTTTTTTTACCGCATTTCAGTTTTGTAAGCAGTTTGATGTAGAGTTCCTGACATGGCGATGTTGGATTGGGTTCTGGGTTATGATAATTCTGTTTGGTGTCGTCGCCTTGGAAGGGTGCTTCTTGATCAAGTACTTCACTCGCTTTACAGAGGACATTTTCGAGCTTCTCATATCTGCAATCTTTATCTATGAGCCAATCGCACTGCTGTATAAGGTGAGTCTTCTTTTCTAGGTGTACTTGTGGACATTGAGTGATTTCAATTTTCAATGGACAAAAACCTTGTACCAGAGTAATTTAAACAATATCGCATTCTTTTTTGCATTTTTCAAGAGCTATGGATGTAATTAGTTATCTGTAGTAACACCAAAGAAAATTTCTCATGAGAGCTCGAGAAAATAAAGGTCAAATCTTACAAAATGACATCTTACACATGAAATTTTCAGAATTTTTCCTGTGTTCTCACAATTCTTTGGTGTTATTACAGATAACTAATTGTATCTATAGCCCTTGAAAAATGTAAAAAAGAATGCGATATTGTTTAAATTATTCTGGTACAAGGTTTTTGTCCACTGAAAGTTAAAATTACTCAATTTCCTAATGGCTTCCGGCTCAATTATTTTGTTGTTGTTGTTGTGGTTGCAGTTGTTCAAGAAGAATCCTTTGACCCGACAAGGATCAGATAATGCATCTGGCGCCAATGAAGTGGTGCAAGGGGAACCCAACACAGCTTTGCTTTCCACTATACTAGTCATTGGAACTTTCTTTCTGGCCTACTACATGCACAAGTTTAGGACGAGCCACTTTTTCGGAAAGAGGGTTAGTACGAAAACTGTTTTTTTTTTAAATTTGTATGGAACTGTTTTTGTTTATTGTTAACCTGAGATCAGGCCCAATTTGAGCGGTTCTCATACATTCTCTCTAACGGCTACCATGCCCGCCGGAATGTAATTTTCAAAGCGAAACGAAAATAGAGCCTGATCTCAGGTTAGTTTATTGTGGTCTTCTGTAGAATAGTCAGTTACTTAAGTTTTAATGACACCAAGGTAGACGCTCTTAAATTAACTAAACTTGTAATCCCATTGCTCAGTAGCTCTCATCACTGGTTATACCTAAGAATTTCATCAGGATCAAAAGTTAGAACCAGCTTGAACAGCTTGGCAAGCAGAACCACAAGAATGAACTGCTCAGTAGTTTTTATTTGAATGGTAACGCCATAGGATTTCATTCACAGACTAAAAAGTAAGAACCACCTTGTACAGCATAATAAACATTACCACAGGAACGTACTGCTCAGGAGCTTTCATTTGAATGGTCACACCATAGGATTTCATCCACAGACTCAAAACTTACAACTACCATGTGCAAGACAATAAACAGTACTACTGGAAGCTACTGCGCATGCCTAGTAGCTTTCATTTAGATACACGTCATCGCACGATTTCTTCACAGCATCAAGGGAAATTAATGCTGCAGTAGTTTTGTGTAGACAGTGACACAGTCATAATTTTCCAACTTGCACTGACTCATTCTTACTGTTTTTCCAGGGCAGACGTATCGTCAGCGACTCCGCCGTTGTAATCGCCATGGTCAGCATGGCTATTCTCGATTTTGTTCTGGGCGACAAAGTCATCACTCAGCATGTCTCCATCGACGACCCGCTGAAAAATGGCTTGCAGCCGACCTATCCCAATAGAGATTGGTTTATCAACCCTGGCGGCATGAAAAAGAGCATGTCGATGCCGTGGATCTTTGCAGCCATTATCCCTGCAGTCTTCGTTGGCATTTTGCTGTTCATGGAGACCGAAATGACCGGCGTTCTCTTGAGCAAGAAGGAGCATAAACTTCACAAGGGGCCAGGTTACAATATGGACCTGGTCGTCGTGGGCGTGTTGGCGTTTGGTTGTTCATTGATGGGATTGCCATGGATGTGCGCTGACACAGTGCGATCGGCTTCTCATGTGAATGCACTTTCCATCTGGAGTACTTCGCATGCGCCTGGTGAGAAACCGCGACTTCTGGAAGTCAAGGAGCAGAGGGTCACTAACATCATCATACACGTTCTCACAGGTATGTGTGGGCCCGGGGGGGGGGAGTACTGCCGTATATGGGCTATATAGGTATGTGCCCGCTGTGAAGGGTATGGTTTTCAAGCAGTTTGCCCTGGGATAGAGTATCTAAATCAGGGAGTTGGGTATCATTTTCCAGGAAACTGATCTATTGGTTGAAGATTTTAGTCTACACTAGGGAAACCGGGAATTGCCACCCAAAAATATCAAAAATCGGTTTTATTTTGGCTGGACTGTGCTACTGACCTCAGTAGTTCCTGGAAGTTCCAGGGTCCCAGCGGCACATCCCCCCGCAGATGTGAGGCCGCCACCCAGAGCGTCCTAGCCTGAGAAAACAGCCAACATTTTGCAACCTCACCACTGGCTTCCCCGCGAAATGACGTCCGAGGAACGACTGCAGAAATTCTATACTGATGACGTATAAGTACCCAGATCTGGGTAGTGCTTCTGATTGGTTGAAGGAAATTTCCTACGCGACACGACCAATCAGAAGCACTACCCAGGTCAGGGTAGTAGAAGTGATACGTCACCAGTATAGAATTTCTGCGCTCTTTCCTAAAGAGTTTGTTACAGTATTGAAAGAAGACTAACTATCCATGTAAATGTACTGTTGAGAATTCGAGGGTTTTTTTTTTACAAAACATTCGATGTGGAGTTCAATTTTAAAAAAATCGTTAAGTTAACTGGAAGGCAGAATGGTAAGAAGAAGTATCTTAAAACTTACTCCGTCTGGCAGTCTCGACTTAAAGCTAAGAGTTTTGTTACAAGTGCAGTGTGCTTGTTGTGACTTATCGCACGACTAGACTTCCGGAGATTCCATCGGAATCGATGCTTTCAATGGATCCGATAGACTCCATCGGACGACTTTCCGACCCTCCTTAAAGTGTTGTTTAAACTTCCGGTTTCTTCTTATGACTAGACTTCCGGTAACTCAAGTAGACTCTACTGTACTTCCGGTTTCATTTTTCGACTAGACTCCATTGGACTCCAGGGCCCAGGTTTTCGAAGGCCGATTAGCCCTTAACCCGAGGTTAAATTTAACCCTGGTTTCTTTTTCTTATGTTCAAAAGCATTTTCTCGGATAATTTTCTCTGTTATTTTTAGAGCTTCCAATCATCAACTTGTAGACAAAAATAATTAAAACTGAAATGCTTTTTAAGCTTTCAAATCTGAATTCAAATCTCACACTAACCCTGGGTTATCTTAACCCAGCTTTGAACAACTCGGCCCAGGTTTTGTCCACTGGAATCTAGTTGGGAGCCGATTGGACATGACTGCTGTTTTTATTGTATCTGTCCGTCCTCCAGGTTTCCATGTTCATCTAATGCAATCATCGTATGAATTAGTGCACCGTAATTTTCACTATTTTCAATTCCCGTCTGTTTCAGGTCTGTCCATTTTTCTCGCACCTATTATTATACTCATTCCCATTCCGATATTTTTTGGGGTTCTTCTGCATCTTGGTATATTGTCACTCTCTGGACCGCAGATGGTGGAAAGGTTCGTTATGATGTTCATGCCACGCAAACATCATCCTGATGTCGGATACGTTAGAAAGGTAGGAATTTCCGGAACTTTCGGTTTCATCTTATGACTAGACTTCCGGTAACTCAAGTGGACTCGACTGTATTTCCGGTTTCATTTTTTTCCTAATGTATGATACGTTAGAAAGGTACGAATTTTATTGGAATGATCACACCACGGGGTCTTGTGCACAGGGTCAACAGTTCTGTAAAATAAACGTTAGCGCTTTATAAGAATAATTAAAAATCATTTGGAAGAAAGATTAGAACAAGGGAAGCCAATGTAGTTGGAAAGTAAGTATCTGACGTGTGCTGTCTTCGGTTTGAGTGGGAGGAGCTACAATCTGTGTCAAAATTGTTGAGACATTGTACTCAAATACTTAAAGGAACAAAACAATCCACACCCCTCCCCCTCTCCTCCATTGAAAGTTGGGGTGTTTGTTGTTTTCTCAGCGGCACAACATTGCATGGAGAGGATGGGGGGAGGAAATGCTTTATTTTGCCCTTTCGAAGTCAGTTAGTCGTCAGAAAGTGTCTCGACTAATTTTGTCGCCGGTTGTGGTTGCTACATAGACTGAAGTAAAACGAACTACGCTTTGATCCTGGGAGTGGTGGTACTCCAGATCTTGAGCCTATTTCAGACCAAAAAAATTTCATATTCTATACCCGTATTCATTTGGAATTGAAATGAGAGATGCGTTCATACACCCTATACCCGAATCTACAATTGTAGCCTGCGTTACCAAAGTGGGCAAAGTCTTTGGCCGTTAGACCGAAACAGGCCAAAAACCGTACCCCTTAATCCCCCAGGGGGAGGAGGCAGCGGCCTTTTATGCTGTTTTTCAGCCGTGCGTCGGCTGCCAGGAAGGAAATCCTGATTTTGTTCCTCACAGTTTTTTCTCTTCTACAGGTTCCGACGAAAAAGATTCATTTATACACAATCATTCAAACACTCGCTTGGGCTTTCTTGTTTGGAATCAAGTTGTCGCCTCTTGCTCCATCTTTTCCCTTCTTTATCATCTGTCTGATTCCGCTGCGAAAGCTGCTCGGAAAGTTTTACGAAGAGCATGAGCTCGAAGAGGTAAGTTTATGATAGAAAGCGCTTGACGACTTTTTCCGCCTTTGTCCCTCGTTCTGTCGGGGAAAACTAACTATAATTTGTATTGGATAATTTTGGCAGGCATAGCATTAAAACCAGGTTTCAATCCAAGTCCATCCTCGCCATCTGTTGCAACAGACGATAGGAAACAGTTTCAATGCCTAAATATATTCTTGAATTTCTAAACTAGATCGTTATTTTTGGAATTCAATTGGCGGGAAAATACGTTTTTATAAAAATAACAGATAGTAATAGGGCTTACTGGTCGTTTCGATACAATTGGTTCAGTCAAGATGTAAATAGTTTCACGTACATGTCTTAAAGAACGAGAAATACTCAGCCCAAATGTTTTTCTTGTCGTGCAGTTTCACTCACTGCTTGAGTTCGTATTGAAGCGATTCGTCAACTGATTCGTGCCGATACGGTTTCCGTAATGGGTGTCTAAGAGCTTTTTAGACGTCTACGTCCTTAAATTTCGCTGAAATAACGTATTTTGATTGTTAAATTCTCTTTTTATCCAACAGCTCGATAATTCAGAGTCGGAAGGTGAAGACAGCGATTTTGAACTGTAATTTTCAAGCCTCCGCGGACTTTCCACAAAGAGTTGCAGTTACTGGGTTTTGTGCCTTTCGATGCCGGCGCCTGTGATACTGTGAAGAAGCGCCAATTTATCGTTGTTGGGGGCATCATACCGGCTCTCGCTGCAGAATATCCTTACTGTTCTCTAAGGGATAAGAGAGAATAAGGGCAAATTTTATACGAAAGCTGTATGTATAGACATGGAGTGAAATTCATAGCTGAGATTATTATTTTTTACATAATTATAATATGACTTGTATGGTTCTTAGCACTTTTCGTTCTTCCGAGTTGATGTATTTTTTGCTGTATTTCTTAATGTTATCTTGTACTAGAAATAAGAGTTTATGGATAGAGCTTGATATGTAATTGCGTATTTTTTTTATTTCTTAAATATTTTATTTAAATATTTTGTTTACTACCTAAGGGTTACGTCTACGCAATAAAGAGGAGATTTTTTCGGATTCCTGATACATTTTAGTACATTTTGGTACCGGGTGCGTTTTGCCGTTTACACGCAGATGAGACGGTGGTAGAGTAAAACGACACAAAGACGGGTTGAAAATGCGTCAGTGATATACGCCAAGAAAATAAGTATAGGTAATAGCACGATTTGTAGTGATATTTGGCATAAATACCACGAGTGATATTTCGAAATTTTTATACGTAATTTCATGAGCCGTTAGGCAAGTGAAATTTGAGACAATTTTGAAATATCACGAGTTGTATTTATGCCAAATATCACGTGTAAACCATGCTATTATTTGTTTATACTACTACCCGCAAAAGGTTTGTAATTTTCACATGTAGGTATTTCAAATTAAGCTGAAATACCACTGCTCTTAGCCAATCAAATTGCAGAAATTTCTCATGTAGTAGTATAAAAGCGCAAATATAATGGTAAAATACCGACAGGGACATGGTTTCGTCGGTTCGTCCTCATTAGCGAGTTAAAGATACCACGACGGCGATGGCAACCAAAATGTCGCTTAAAAATTAAATTCGCGTTCTTTCAATCGCTCTCGCGATTACTCTAACTCATTTACTTTGTCAAATGCAAGCAAACTCTTTTTGAGCCAATTTCCTAAAAAACATATTCAAGTTCAGAAAGAGAAAGAAAATTTAGCCGTCGCTTGGTTACGTCCTCTATAAAACTTGAAATTAGGCATTTTCCCGTCGTAGTCGTGCTTTAACGGCAAAGAAATGTACAAAAAAGCGTGGTGCACGTGCAGAGTTGCGGTTTTGCCTATTCAACATATCGCTTTTTTTGCCGTTCTCGTTTTCGTCACTGACGTGGTATCTTAAAGTCCCTAACACGCGACTCGACGGGTTTTGAAATTCAGGTTGGGGACATACGATCCCCCTCCTCCCTCCCCAAATTTTGCGTGAATCCGCCCGATTGGTCGTGTGTCGAGAGAGTTTGAAATCGTATCAAGTTGTCGCCTCTTGCTCCATCTTTTCCCTTCTTTATCATCTGTCTGATTCCGCTGCGAAAGCTGCTCGGAAAGTTTTACGAAGAGCATGAGCTCGAAGAGGTAAGTTTATGATAGAAAGCGCTTGATGACTTTTTCCGCCTTTGTCCCTCGTTCTGTCGGGGAAAACTAACTATAATTTGTATTGGGTAATTTTGGCAGGCATAGCATTAAAACCAGGTTTCAATCCATGTCCATCCTCGCCATCTGTTGCAACAGACGATAGGAAACAGTTTCAATGCCTAAATATAATCTTGAATTTCTAAACTGGATCGTTATTTTTGGAATTCAATTGGCGTGAAAATACGTTTTTATAAAGATAACAGATAGTAATAGGGCTTACCGGTCGTTTCGATACAATTGGTTCAGTCAAGATGTAAATAGTTTCACGTACATGTCTAAAGAACGAGAAATACTCAGCCCAAATGTTTTTCTTGTTGTGCAGTTTCACTCACTGCTTGAGTTCGTATTGAAGCGATTCGTCAACTGATTCGTGTCGATAAGGTTTCCGTAATGGGTGTCTAAGAGCTTTTTAGACGTCTACGTCCTTAAATTTCGCTTAAATCAGGGGCACCCAACGAGAATATAGTTCAAAACCTCTAAAACTTAGCATTGTTAAACGTACTTTAGTGTTTAAACGATAGATATAGGTATATTTTTAACCCCTAAAAATTTTTCATCTGTTCGGATTTCCTAGCTGAAAGTCTAGTGATCCGAAAATTATAGGGATCAAAACTGATATTTTCGAAAATTTCAGCCAGAAAAAAGGCTTCCAATAATTCTAGGTGACCTTTTAAGGGTAAAAATCCGTTAAAAATGGGCAATTATACCATTTTTTAGATGTTCGAAAATCCTAGGAGAGGCAGGCAAGCAAGAAATTTTGCTACAAATGTTCCGAAAATTCTAGATCTCAAATCGTCTTCCGAACAGATATTTCCCGAAAATTGTCGTTGGGTGCCCCTGTTAAATAACGTATTTTGATTGTTAAATTCTCTTTTTATCCAACAGCTCGATAATTCAGAGTCGGAAGGTGAAGACAGCGATTTTGAACTGTAATTTTCAAGCCTCCGCGGACTTTCCACAAAGAGTTGCAGTTACTGGGTTTTGTGCCTTTCGATGCCGGCGCCTGTGATACTGTGAAGAAGCGCCAATTTATCGTTGTTCGGGGCATCATACCGGCTCTCGCTGCAGAATATCCTTACTGTTCTCTAAGGGATAAGAGAGAATAAGGGCAAATTTTATACGAAAGCTGTATGTATAGACATGGAGTGAAATTCATAGCTGAGATTATTATTTTTTACATAATTATAATATGACTTGTATGGTTCTTAGCACTTTTCGTTCTTCCGAGTTGATGTATTTTTTGCTGTATTTCTTAAGGTTATCTACTAGAAATAAGAGTTTATGGATAGAGCTTGATATGTAATTGCGTATTTTTTTTATTTCTTAAATATTTTATTTAAATATTTAGTTTACTACCTAAGGGTTACGTTTACGCAATAAAGAGGAGAGTTTTTCGGATTCCTGATACATTTTAGTACATTTTGGTATCGGGTGCGTTTTGCCGTTTACACGCAGATGAGACGGTGGTAGAGAAAAACGACCCAAAGACGGGTTGAAAATGCGTCAGTGATATACGCCAAGAAAATAAAAGCGCAAATATAATGGTAAAATACCGACAGGGACATAGGACATGGCTTACGCGTCACGAGTCTACGCAAATAAAAGTGAGCGGTGGTTATAAGTTGATCTAACTCGCGCGTAGGTAACGAGTCGTTCTGATTTATATAAATGTTTATTTTAGATTGTTTTGAGAGAGATATGATTAAAAATGTTTTACTATCAAAACGGCAGTTGGGTACGAATCAACTAAGCTTTGGGTACGAATCATCTTAGCGTTGGGTACAAATCATCTCAACTTTGGGTACGAATCGTCTGGGTACGAAACGTCCGGATTCCGTCCTCATTAGCGATGGCGATGGCCACAACGGCGATGGCCACGAAAATGTCGCTCAAAAATTAAATTCGCGTTCTTTCAATCGCTATCGCGATTACTCTAACTCATTTACTTTGTCAAATGCGAGCGAACTCTTTTTGAGCCAATTTCCTAAACAACATATTCAAGTTCAGAAAGAGAAAGAAAATTTAGCCGTCGCTTGGTTACGTCCTCTATAAAACTTGAAATTAGGCATTTTCCCGTCGTAGTCGTGCTTTAACGGCAAAGAAATGTACAAAAAAGCATGGTGCACGTGCAGAGTTGCGGTTTTGCCTATTCAACATATCGCTTTTTTTGCCGTTCTCGTTTTCGTCACTGACGTGGCATCTTAAAGTCCCTAACACGCGACTCGACGGGTTTTGAAATTCAGGTTGGGGACATACGATCCCCCTCCTCCCTCCCCAAATTTTGCGTGAATCCGCCCGATTGGTCGTGTGTCGAGAGAGTTTGAAATCGGAATCTTAAGTGGGGACTTCTTATCTGAATGAATCTTCTCGAATTTACTGATGTGTCGAAACGCTTGTCAATCTGAACATTTTAAATTTAATAAATCCGGAAAAAGTCCTCTCTAGTCTGAATGTACCCAAGGTCTGATCTGAATAGATTATACTCTTTAAACTTTAAGCCGAGGTTTACTTGTTCAAATATGGGTAGTAAGAGTTGCCCCATGACTACTTCTTGGTGAAGTTAAATTCCGCAGCGTTCATTTTTGCTCATAAAAGAAAACACCTGACTCAATGAACATGAATGACTCAATAAAGAATTTATTCCTTTTTTTTTACTTTTCTCTTGACAAAAAGATATAAATGTATGAATGTACATTCCTTCTAGTTACTTTCGCTTTTATTTTCATATCAATAAACTGTTTCAAAAGAAATAAAAATTTGACCCTGTACACTCTTGTAAATAATGATAAAAAAAAACAAGTTTTTAATAACAAGTTACAACACTTCAAAAGTGCGTATGTACATGGTGGCAGAAGAGAACTCTGTGTAGAAAAGATGACTAAGTACATGAAGGAAAACGCATGTTTATGAATGTTTAGAACAACAGCATGGATGTAGTATATCTCTGTTTGTGGTTAACTGGACAGCTGAATATGACTGATGTGCCCCTGTAAATAGACATAACAGAGTTTGTCAGCTAAGTCTCATGAACCCTCTTAGCAATAGACTACAAGTAGTCCCCCATTTGTCCTCAGGCATAGTAAAGCGAGCAAAACGCGAGTGTGTGTGAAAACCACACCACTGCGTCTCGCCTTTCTCACGTGGGGTAATTTTCATGTGCGCTCGCATTTCGCTCGCTCTACTATCCCTGAGGAAAAAATGGGGGACTACTCGTAGTCTTTCTTAGCAATAGAGAATAATCGGACAGAGAGGGAATCATAGGACATCGGCCGAAATATGTGACTTACACCAAAGTTATGTTTAGAGGATGCAATTGAAAGGAAGTCTCATTCCTCAGACATCTGCACATTTTAATCAATTGTTTGAAACATCCTCAAATCCACGCATGACTGCCCGTGCCTCAAAGCAAACAATGCAGAATATTATAATGGCAACTGTAGAATTCTCTCATGACAACACTAAACAAAAGTTTGCGGATCTTTCTGGAAACCAACTTGCAATAAATTTCAAGCATTTATTTGTTCTAAAATTAACTTTGGTGGGGGACATATCCCAAGTGCTAGACTGGGTGTTTCCTTGTCTGTCCCACTATTCTCTGTTGCTTTTAGTCAATTGCAGTTGAAATCCTGTGGTGTAAATGAAGCTACTAAGCAGCAGTGTACTTTCTTGTGGTACTGTTTTATTATGCTGTTACCCTGCAAGCAGTGGGAAGATCGAAGGGCCTCTGCTCGCAGGGTTATATGCTGTAGAAGGTTGTTCTAACTTTTGAGTCTGTGGATGAAATCCTATGATGTGACCATTCAAATGAAAGCTACTGAGCAGTACTTTCCTGTGGTACTGTTTGTTATGCTGTACAAGCTTGTTCTAACTTTTGAGTCTGTGGCTGAAATCCTATGGTGTGACCATTCAAATGAAAGCTACTGATCAGTACTTTCCTGTGGTACTGTTTATTATGCTGTACAAGGTTGTTCTAACTTTTGAGTCTGTGGATGAAATCCTATGGTGTGACCATTCAAATGAAAGCTACTAAGCAGTACTTTCCTGAAGTACTGTTTCTTATGCAGTACATTGTGGTCTTAACTTTTGAGTCTGTGAATGAAATTCTATGGTGTGAAGGACTTATGAGAATCATCTTCCAGGGTGACCTTGTCCTTTCAAGAGGCATTAAAACATTAAGGGACACCATTGTGTAAAATACTGGAAAAGGTTAATCTCTCACTGAGAGTGGGGCAGGGAAGTAGGATACAGGAAGTTCCTCTCCCCTATTCTTCAGTGAGTGTTATGATTCTCTGGTACAGTCAAACCCTTTTATTACTGTGGACATCAAAGCAACAGATCCTAGTGTGGACATTACTAAAGTGTCTGTATTAGATAGGTAGGGACGCAGGGTGTTCATTAGCCATCTCTGGCTAGCATTCGATAGCCTATGACTATTTTTAATTTAGATGTGGGGTCTCTTTCAATATATTCTCCTGTAACGTTCCTCCTTTCTCCTGCTACAAGAATTCTTACTGCAAACCCTTGGGATGGTATCAGTGGTATGAAGGTTGGTGTCTTTTGGCGTCGGAGAATTATCCGCAATAAAAACTTATAGGTATGGAGACATTGGATTGTATGTTAATGTCCTTTACTTACTGGTTCTCCTGTCAAACAGCGGGGGCAGGTAGGCAGTGATGAACGATTAGCCATAAACAACTCTCGTTCGCTTACTGTTGAGGACGGTAGGTGATACTGATGAACATTTGCTGAATCATATGCTAGCTCCATTCCTTGAACCTCATTTACTTGATTTGCATGTTCATGTACTACATTACAGTTTATGTCTATGTGAACATTTAAAGTAGGAGGACTTGGATATTGACTATGTTCTGCTAGGGACTGTCTGGAATGTAGCGATCTGTTTTCTGTTTCCTGATTGAGCATATTTTCTGCCTGCCACGAAGAGTTTTCTAGACATGGCCGCTTCTAAAAAACAAATTGACAGTGTTAAAATCAATGTAATCTTTCTATTCACTAAAACATTATTAAAGCTTAAATTAACTTATATTATCATAAGACATTTCAACCTATTTCGCGTGAGTGGCGAAAGCTGAAAAACTGTGGAGTACAAAATTGATCCCTGATTTGGAATTACTTTCCCAACAAACTATTTACAACCCAGATTAACAAAGAACGAACAAAGAAAGAACGAAAACAGCGAAAAGTACGTTAAAACCATTGTTAAGACACGTGCAAAAGGAAAGTAAATTAACTCAAACCCACATTCGTGCGGTGATCAGTACGAGATTCTAGAACAGCCTGTCGCTTTCTCGTCAAGTTACAAGGCTTTACCACGTCCATACAATATTCGATTTCCATGTTGAGTAAGTATAAGAGAAAAAAATCACAAGGATTTAAATTCTTTGGCGACAGATCTGTTTACAAACCGTCACAAAATATCAACTCTCAGTACCCATCGTGCACTTCTGTTGTAAATTTTGTCATCTTTCATTGGTGCGAATATGAAGTAAAATACGATTCACTGGAATCCAGGTCACCTCGGTTTTGTTAGCAAAATGGCGGGTTTGTTATAAAAAAATGTGGTTACTGAATTAAGATGTATTATAGTTCAGTTTAGAGCCTTCTAGTCCAGCTGAAATGTAAAGCGAATTTCAGTGTTTCTTAGAGGATGTCTTCCAGCCTTTTGTTCAATTCAGTTATACCTTGTGGTTGACTTTATTAGACCAATTTGGTCGGACGGCGGAATCGAAAGCGCTTCCGGCTTCTTCGCCAACTGGAAATTGACGACTGATTTGTAACATTCAGAGATGTCGAATGCACGAAAACGTAAACATGATGGTTTGACTCAAGATGGAGGAACAAGAATCAAAGTTGAGAGGAGTGAGTATCGTTTATATAACCGCGCGACGTGCAATACAACCCGCATGGTGTTTGGTCTTTAACAGCTGTACAGATGTACTTAAACGCACGTCTCATTTATAAGCTTCACAGCAAAGGATTCTACTAACAATTGTTTGGGGGGCCGTGCTTGTTCTTAAATTTCTCCAGTGAATTGCTTTAGATTTTCCATATATTTGTCTGCAATTTTTTTTCCCGGGAAATTTTAGTTGGCAGGAAGAAAATGTTTTACAGAACTATGTATAGAAAATTTTAAAAAAGTGGCTTTAGCACGTGTAACTCCCTCATATTTGTTCAGTAATAGAATTCTTAGGGGTGAAGCTTTAGGTTACAATTCGTTTTTTTTCAGAACAGTGATTTTACAGAAATTTTTTGACAGAAGATCCTGACACAGTGTAATTTCTCATGTGGTTCCCTACTCGTCAAGGTGGCTTCCAAAACCATGATAAGGTCAATACATCATTACAGAAACGCGCCCATTCAAAAACGTCGATCGTGAAAATGCAAATAAGTGAAAAATGATGTTAATTTAGTGTCAATCAAGAAATCCCCTGAGTATATCCCTTTCCTGGTTATTGTTCCTGCTCAGACATCCGCAACATTTGCCTATTCTTCGATGAAGAATAGAACTTCACGCGACTAGCAATAGCTCAGTCTGTTTAAAAACTGTCTAAATTTACTCTGAATTAGCATGTGACTTGTTGCTGTTAAACGCTTCAAAATTGAAAAATCCTTGATGATTGTTGTTGATTTTGCCGTAAATAATTCAATGCACTGACTTAAAACGAATTTTTACCTTTTAAAAACTTCATGGTTTTCGAATCGATCGATGAAATATGAGCGCAACCGATGCGTTAATAGTTTGTTTACATTTTGTCACGGGTTTTGGATAATATTATAAACCTTAAAATTTACGGGCAAATTCGACGAAAAAGCACTCTCACTTACATTCTTCATTTAAGATATTGATTTTGGCAAAGTATAAGGCAAAATTAAGAGCGATGCTTTCTTTAAGAACGCTATAACTACATATTTAATGGACAAACCTAAACAGCGATCTAATCCGTTTCTTGAAAACAACTACAATACCGCTTCTGATAATAATATTTATAAACGCTGCAAACATTTTTATTCAATCTTACCGAGTGATTTTCGTGAAGATGAGTTTTTAAGTGAAGAATACTTTGGTTTCTGATTAGCTTTAACTGTTTTGCCATCAAAACGATTTGCACAAGACTACCGAATTCATGAGGCTTTCATGTTAGTGCCCGAGGAAGAAAAATGCTTCTCTTTGCATAAACATTTTCTTCTTTGTAGCAATGACAAAGACATTCCAACACTTAAGACAATGGCAACCTACTTCTATTGTTTCTGCATTGTCTCTTGAAAGTGTAAGAATAGTTAACTGCTATAAAGTTCACAAGAGACCGAAAACAACGGTAGTCTTTGAAACCTCGTTTTTGCTCACAAAGCCTAATGGGTACCCCACTTTTCACGGGCGACGTTTTTCAATGGGCACGTTTCTGAAATGTGTACCTTTTATCAAGTTTAATTACAAGGATTGCACTGAAAGAAAGTTTGATGAAGGGAATTCAGGAAAAATTTCTTTTCAGCACCATATGTTGATTGCTCATTCTCTACCGTATTCCTTGTATTCCTTCAAAACAAACAAAGGCTTTGAGGAAATTATATCTTTTGTTACTTTTCGGGGATTGCTCTTTAGATGAAAACAAGTAAGTGAGTGAGCAAAATGGCAAGGGTAATACGGAGAAAAATGTCGCATATTTGACAACAAAGAACGAATAAGGTGAACTTCACATACCCTCATGCTATTCTTACTTAGGTCTCTCAAGCAGTGATTCTGATGAGGAACTATCATCTCCTTCATATGCCAGTTTTCTTCATGGTGACCGCAAACCAGTGTACAGTGATGTGGTTTGGAAACAAATGGTATGTGAGAAATGATATAATAAACTTGTTACGAGCACAGGAAAAGGAAAAAATCTGGAGTCGCCGACAGGAATTAAACCTATGACCTTCCATACACTGGTCGGATGCTCCAACCACCAAGCTACAAAGGACTTGTGATGAGCTAGGCCATATACACTGCGCTGGTCTGGGCTCAAACCTTTTACTCTATGTTTTTTTCTTAGACAACCAACTTTCCCTCACTATGGCTCTAGTCACCCAGACCCTGGTTGTTCAAACATTGGATGGCGCTATCAACCGGATAAAGTGCTATCCAGTGGATAAGTATTAGGGAAACCAATTACACTATCCAGTGGATAGAGATTTATCCAGTGCATAATGTTATCTACCCTTTGAACAACTCATGAGCCCTGGCCCTGGTTGTTTAAACATTGGATGGCGCTATCCACTAGATAAATCACTATCCAGCAGATAAGTATTAGAGAAACCAATTGCGCTAATCACTGGATAGATTTTTATCCAGTGGATAGTGCTATCCAACGTTTGAACAACTGGGGCCAGGTGTATAAATGTGTAACAGCAATGTGATGTTAGGGTAACACCATGATGGACTAGCATACTTTTTAAGGGCGAGAAGCAATACTTGTAGGTGCTTTGCGATGCAGGAATTGAGTTAAGTTCTCCCCTTGTGGGCTTCATGGCTTGTATTTGTTTCCACCCTTTATCCTAATTATGAGTTTTGGAGTACCTCTAGTCGTGGAGGGAGGCCATATAAAAATGTATTTTGCATGAGTATGTCTTTTTTTGGCCAGGAAAAAATGGGTTACAAGGCAGGAGAAAGTCTGGGCAAGACTGGCTTGGGAAATAAACAGTTTTCTGTAAACAAAAATCAAGGAAATGACAGTGAAGATGAAGTGCTTAATAATTCATCGCAATCAGAGTCTGTGTATAGCGACTTTGCTCAAAGGCAAATGGTAAGAACTTATCTGTTGCTATACCTTATACTGCTGAAAAAGACAAATAATAGTTATTTAGTTTAGACCAATCATCAATGATTCCTGGCAAATATCTCAAACAATATGCCTCACTTTGGCCAAGATTAAATGCTGGATGTTTAAGCTTTTATATTAAAGTATGACCTATTAGTAACCTGTTTCCTTTTACTCTGAAAACATGTCAAAGTGACCTATGAGTTTTGAGAAAAGGTCATTGTTATGTTATGAAGTAAAACATACAGTAAGCAAAATCCAGGAAATAAGTAATTTTTAAAACTTAAAAATTCATGAACTCTTCTAACATTCACTCATTCTGATCAATGATTATAATGATAACATTATTAATCTATTATATTGTATCATATTAATTTTATTCAACATTTTTTGTAATATTATCATTTTACTGTGCTTTAGGAAAGCATGGGTTTTCAGCAAGGAGGGGGCTTAGGACGATTCGGTCAAGGAAGAGCTGACATCATAGAGGCGTCCCAGCAGCGAGGGAGGCGTGGTCTTGGATTCCGAGTTGAAGGCTTTGATGATAAAGATTTTACTTGGGAAGAAGAAGAAGAGGTAATTCTCTGCTCATAATGTTGATAGTAAAAGACCAATGTTAGAACGATTTTTGTGTGACCTTGAAATGAAAACGTGTGAACAAAACAGAAACAATGAACAGAAATAGAAGAATAATAATTATTTGATTGGTTTGTTGAACGGGGGTGAACAAACTTTATGTCCGAA